TTGTTAGTGATGTTTTCGCAGTAGGTGTCTATCGTGGGAAAGGCAAACCGTCTGATGTTCAGACGTTTTTCAAGCCCTTAATTAGGGAAATTTATTTGCTCTCTAGAAAAGGCCTTCATGTAGAAAGTCTTGACCGCACGTTTGACTTTAAAGTGGAAGCTGTCATTTGCGATGCTCCTGCTAGGGCATTTATTAAGCAAATAAAAATGTAAATGCATATTATGGTTGCGAGCGATGTAAGGTTAAGGGTGTCCATAAGGATACGGTAGTGAACGACGTTGTTAGTAACCAGAAAAGGAGTGACGAAGACTTTTATAGTCAAGCGGACGACTGCCGTCGTATTGGCAGGTCACCATTGTTAGCAGTTAATATAGGTATGGTAACTCGTTTCCCTTTAGACCCACTTCATCTTGTTTACCTAGGTGGAACTCGACGTCTACTGAAATTGTGGCTTAATAGCCGGACTACTAAGCCGTATAGGTTGTCACCCGAAGCCGTAGACACAGTAGGTAAGAGGTTGAACGCTATTAATCCTTATTTACCAAGATAATTTACGCAGCGAGCTAGAGCTCGTAGTGAGTGAGACACTTGGAAAGGCATTGAGTTGCGTCAGTTCCTGCTATATACAGGAATGGTTGTTCTCAAAGACGTAATGATGGAGAAATATTGGAAGCATTTTATGCTTCTCTCGACAGCAATGCGGTGCCTAGTTCGCCCACGTTCTTGTAAGAAGTGAGTACCCTACGCTAAACACTTGCTGGAATTTTTTGTAGATAAGTATGAAGAACTTTATGGCCTGGAAGAAATGGTCCCTAGGGACTGGTGCAGGGCAAACAATATGGAACCCGCAGATGTCCACAAGGCCTTCCAACGGGCTTTTAAGAAATCGTATGACCGCTTGCGGCGTAGACTTTACTTATTCCCCAAACGGTCTCGTAACAATGGTGAGTTCAATCAAAATTTTCTTAACGTGTTCAAACTACTGCCATCATCAATGTTTCGTAATTCCTAATCGGGCAACGTATTTTGGATCTTTCAGACTACAATCGCCGTGATGACGACGGCCCAATGCCCCTCCACCAGTACCCCATTTTGCTCCCAAATGCATAATGTTACCGCCAATTGCAGTACCGAAATATAAATAGCGCCCAAAACTTTTACCCAGATTATTTTTTTACATTTTGTACATTTTTACGACCGTTTTTAACCGTATTTTTCTACACAATGCATTTTTCCAACATTTAAACGTCTCCAAAAAAGTACTTCACTACTGCGTTTCGAGTTGTAGATCTGGAATCCGATTGGAATCCAGTTGGATTTGCTATTAATGTACAGCGACGAAACAGAGACATAGCTCATTTTCGGACGCCTCCTGTCCATTACCCCTCGCATCTCTAAATCCCATATAGACCTAGACTATACGCTTTGGGCTCTAAACGCCCTCAGACCTCTCCTCCATATCTGATGTTCCTGGGCTGTTTGA